TCTTCCTTTCTCTTTCCCTCCTTTCCTCTCCTTCCCCCGCTCCTTCCCTTTCTCTTCGTCCCTTTTTCCTTCCTTCCTCCTTTCCTCTTTTATCTTCCTTTCTCTTTCCCTCCTTTCCTCTCCTTCCCCCGCTCCTTCCCTTTCTCTTCGTCCCTTTTTCCTTCCTTCCTCCTTTCCTCTTTTATCTTCCTTTCTCTTTCCCTCCTTTCCTCTCCTTCCCCCGCTCCTTCCCTTTCTCTTCGTCCCTTTTTCCTTCCTTCCTCCTTTCCTCTTTTATCTTCCTTTCTCTTTCCCTCCTTTCCTCTCCTTCCCCCGCTCCTTCCCTTTCTCTTCGTCCCTTTTTCCTTCCTTCCTCCTTTCCTCTTTTATCTTCCTTTCTCTTTCCCTCCTTTCCTCTCCTTCCCCCGCTCCTTCCCTTTCTCTTCGTCCCTTTTTCCTTCCTTCCTCCTTTCCTCTTTTTTCTTCTTCCTTCTCTCCCTCTCTCCCCTTTCTTTCCCTTTTGCCTTCCTTCCCTTCCCTCTCTTCCTCCCTTCCTTCTTCCTTTCCTCTCGTTCTTCCCTCCCTCACTTCCTCTCATTCCCTTCTTGCCTCTCCTTCCTTCCTTTCCTCCCTCCCTTTCTTCCTTCCCTCCTTTGCTTCCTCCCTCCCTTCTTTCCTTCCTCTCTTTTCCTCCCTCCTTCTCCTTTTCTCCCTCTCTTTTCCGTGCTCTCTCCTTTCTCCCTTCAAAGAGGATTTGATCCCCTCTTTTTCCTTTTCGTGGACTAGAGTTTTCTGAGCAGCCCACAAGTTGATCGTGAGTACTGGCCCGGGAGCACAGATGTCCTGCCCCATCGGTGGGTTAAAGGTCATGGAGGGTCAGACACTGGTGGCTCACGCCTGTCATCCCGGCTACTCAGGAGGCTGAGATCTGAGGATCCTGGTTCAAAGCCAGCCTGGGCGGGAAAGTCCGTGAGACTCTTTATCCCCAGTGAACCGCCAGAAAAACCAGAAGTGGAGCTGTGGCTCAAGGGGTCAGGTGCTAGCTCTGAACCAAAAGCAGCTCAGGCCCTGAGTTCAAACCTCAGAACCAGTACACACCAACTCTGTGTCTGTGTGTGTGTCTGTGTGAGTGTGTCTGAGTGTGTGTGTGAGTGTGTATGTGTGTGTGAGTGTGACGGGGGGAATTTTTTAAAAATTACTGATCATTTTTGGCAAGATTTTGAGGATACATCATCTCAAGGAACTTCCCCAAAATAGATTTCTCGTCTTCCTTCCTTCTCTCTATTTCTCCTTGGCTCATCAATCCTGTCTCTCCCTTCTTCTCCTTCTGTTTCCTTCCTTCTTTCCTTCCCTCCCTCCCATCCTCCCTCCTTC